CCCCGTGCGATTTCTAAACCAAAAACACATAGACTTTTAGATGCAAACTTTTAAAATTTCATTTACTTTTTAACGTAGAATTAAGAGTGCTACAGGCCAAATTCTCGATATATTGAACAAATGTACAAATTCGCAAACCTATCATACATTTAAACTATGATAACGATTCTTACCTCTGGAATTGAGAGGACGACATCTTACTACTACTTTAATATTTCCTCCGCTCATTTTGGCACAGACTTATAATTACAACCAAGTTTTAACTTTAAACAAATGCGTGGGCTAGAAAGCCCAACGGGAATTAAAGCAGATGGATTCGTATCGGTAGAATTTAAAAAAAAAAAAAGAAAAAAAAAAAAAAAAAAAAAACGTTGGAACTTAGAAAGTAAGAGTTCTCACAACTCTAAAGTACTATACACGAAAGACTGACAATAATATGAACAATCAACAGTCAAGATTATAATAATTTATATTAGAAATAAAGAGTAAAAATTTCGTGATGCCATAAATCACAAAGGACTTCGGCACAAAATCGAGTGTTAAAGACACATAGGGATTTTAGCGGTTTGACAATTGCACTAGCAGCACAAATTGATAGTTCACACGTTACACGAGTTTCCCGTTTTAAACGCCGCACATGCAAGAGTGCGATCAGTGATAACACTTATCATTGACTTACCCATATTTTATCAGTTGTCCTAGAATAGTTACAATATATATTATTATGTTTGTAATAAATAATAATAAAATATCAATATTGACTTTTTTGTTTTATTCAAAGGTTATCTTTTTTCCTTGCGCAGGGACAATTGCTCCTCGGTTTGCGGCTGCATAGCTATTTCCGCCACGCCCGCCACGCCCACCCCATCCACCACGTCCACCACGTCCACCACGTCCGCCACGTCCGCCACGACCGCCACGACCACCTCTGAATCCGAATCCGCGCCCACCACTACGACCGTCAAAGCGAGAACCTATGTAAATGTTTTATATATCTTAAATAAAAATAAAACACAATGGTAAAAATATCAACTTTATACATAATAATATAAATAGTATACTTTTGTCATTGGTTTGTCTGCTTGGAGAAAAATCGAGCCGAATACGACGACCTTCAATTTCCGTACCGTTCAATTCCATAGCTTTCTGAGAACTACTAATATCCGCAAATTGAACATAACCAAAGCTTAAATTTGATAAAAAAAAAAAAAAAAAAAATTAATATTTATAATATAATATAATGTAATAATATTGATAATGCCTTAAGTATATTTACCCTTTAAGGTCCTCCGTACCAATAACGGTCGGGAGCCTGACTGCTATAATTTGCCCATAACGACTGAAAATATCACGAATTTTTTTTTCCGTAGCATTAAAAGACAAATTACCGACCCAGAGGGTATCACTGACCTCGCTTTTTGGGCCAGTAACATTTGTACCATTTCTTGCATTTTTTGGGATAGCAAGGTCAACACGAATAGACCTGCCATCAATTTCTTTTCCCGTGAACTTTAACGCATTCTGTGCTGCTTCGGGATTAGTAAATTCTATATATCCATACCTATAAGGATAGACATACCAGAATAAACAAACTTTTCAAAAAACCATAAATTTTAATAAATGATAAATTTTTTTACCCTTTCGACGATCCAGTTGTTTTGTCATAAATTATGCGTACATCGACTATTTCTCCAGCATCTTTCATCTCATCCTTTAGCCAATCAGCATCAACATTGTACGAGAGTTGACCAACGAATACTGTGCTACTTGAAGACATGCTGTCATCAACCTTGGGTTTTTTAACCGGCTTTTTGACTGGTGTAGAGACAGATTCGTCTACTTTTCTTTTGGATGGATTTTGCTCCAAGTGACTGGCCCCTTCCTTATTACTATCGCTTTCTTCAGATTCACTTGTACTTGAATCACTACTACTTGAGTCTTGTCTATCATTTTTGCCATTTTTATGGTCTGGTTTGGACTTTTTAGTTGGAGTAGAAATTGGTCCATTTATCTTCCGCTTTGATGAATTTTGTTCCAAGTAATTGGCCTCATCATTATCACTATCGTCGTCACTATCGTCTTCTGATTCACTTGTACTCGAGTCACTACTGCATGAATCTTGCCCGTCATTTTCATTTTTGTCATTTTCATGATCTGGTTTGGACTTTATAGTTGGAGCAGAAATCGGTCCATTTATCTTTCGTTTTGATAAATTTTGTTTCACATTATTGGCCTCATCACTATCGTCGTCACTATCGTCGTCACTATCGTCTTCTGATTCACTTGTACTCGAGTCACTACTGCTTGAATCTTGCTCATCATTTTCGTTTTTGCCATTTTCATGATCTGGTTTGGACTTTTTGGTTGGAGCAGAAATCGGTCCATTTATTTTTCGATTTGGATCCAAATTATTGGCCTCATTCTTATCATTATCGTCGTCACTATCTTCGTCTTCTGATTCACTTGCACTCGAGTCACTATTGCTTAAATCTTGCCCATCATTCTCATTTTTGCCATTTTCTTTATGATCTGGTTTGGGCTTTTTGGTTGAAGCAGAAATCGGGCCATTTATCTTTTGTTTTGATAAATTTTGCTCCAAATCATCGGACCTATCATTATCACTATCGTCGTCACTATCGTCTTCAGATTCAGTTGTACTCGAATCACTACTGCTTGAATCTTGCTCATCATTTTCATTTTTGCCATTTTCTAGTTTAGACTTTTTGATTGGAGCATAAATAGATCCATTTGTTTTTTGTTTTGATGAAATTTGCTTCAAATGATCAGCCTTTTTCTTATTACTATCGTCTTCACTATCGTCTTCACTATCGTCTTCACTATCGTCTTCAGATTCACTTGAACTCGAGCCACTACTGCTATGATTTTGTTTAATTTGTACTGATTTGGATTTTTTAACTGGAGTGGAAATCGGTCCACTTATCTTTTGTTTTGATAAATTTTGCTTATCATTTTTTACTGCATTTCGCACTTTCGTACCCGGAAGAGTCATGGCAGATAAATGGAGCCTTTGCAATAGAAAAGGCGGATTTTGTTTTTCAAATTGTTAGTTAAAAAAACCAACTAGCGTTAATTGATAACCAATTAACGTTTTAACTAATCGATTGAAAAAAAAATTTTTAAGTCATTGATTATCTACTAAAATTGGAGAATTCGTCTGATTGGCTAATTTTTACAGATCTAATTTAACCAATCATTACTAAGAAACGAAAAAAAAATTTTTAATATCATATACAAAAGAAGTGGATATTCGTAAAGTGGATGAATGCGGTATTTATTATTAATAAACCCACACTTATATGATTGACAGACAAGAACACGTTGCAAGAACCGTTATTTAATTGGCAGTCCATAATTAAAAGGAACAAATTTCATAGTAAAATCGGGCATTTGAAATAATAACCTGATCCGTCGGGAATTAGCGGAAACGCTTATTCACATACGGTCAATTAATCCTCCCGTGTTCTTGATATAGTGATCGGGGATTATATAGATATTAAGAATGCAACTTATGCAGTATTTAGATCATATATTGAATTCACTTCGCTTTTACCAGCCTCCTTATATAGTATGTGGAATCCGTTTCTTACGTGAAAAATACTCATGTCTCATGATCTATCCAACCGATTTTGATCAAAATCAAAAAAATTAGTTTTACAACTTTTTTTTTTTTTTTTTTATATTAAGGTGAGGTCATGCCTCTGGTTTTTTATTAACATATACTTATTATGACAAGTTCTTTACATATATGCTAATGCATCACTACAGAGACTTAGACTAATTTATCTATGATCTAAACCTACTAGAGTGTTACATACCCTACACATGTCTCACCTAGTTTTGCGCTTCCCAACTAACTATTTCTAGTAATACCACATTCTCTTCATGTTTTATACAACCAGTTATAACTTTCAATTTGGATATCAGGTGTCCGCTCCTAATGAGCTTCCAATTTGGTGTACCTGCAAGCATAATCCACTGCAAGTTCCCATTAAAGTACTTTATTTGTGCAACTATGATTGATGCAGGTGGCTTTTTTATAGCCTCGTATCTCAAGCCAGGACTTGCTGCCTAGTTAGATTTGCCACATAACTGAGTTGGTATTACATTGTCGATTAAGAGCTTATCTTGGGTTTGTATCACCTTAACCAGTTTGCATTCCTTTATGCATCATCTCTTTTCATGAATGTTTTAATTTCTCACTTATTTGCCCAGGTACTACTAATATGTATCTCAAGCCAAGTCTTGCTATCATCGCTAGTTTGCCTATCTCAAAACTTAACGTTCTTTTTCTGATATAGTGGTACCAACTAATCTGTTTGTATTTTCTTATATAGTATATTACAGAACCATATTATGTAGCCACTTTAATAATCTATCTTGTTAAAGACTAGCTTAATACTACAAAATTCCTTAAGTGGCAAGCAGTTCTACTTCCAACTATAGGTCTTGCATTATGTTACTAGGAGGCGTACTTCAATTTACCTTGACTTTCAACTTGATTCTTCATCATTAGTTGGTGTTGTATTATTGTTTGTGTATTTTGACTCATTTTATTAAAGACTTCGATATAGATACAACCAGAGTTTTGATTTGATTCTTTTAGACATATTAGATTAGCTAGCCTATCTTTATGAAATTACCTTCTTTAACTAGTTGTTCTCTGCTACTAGAGGCATTTCTTGTTCAGATAAGACTAATCCTTTACCACAGCCTTTTTATATATTCACAACTTCTCTTATTATTTCAGTTTTAGTAGTATTGTATCACTCTCCCAAGCAGGTACTCAGCACCATTTCCAAATTAGAACTAATGTATACAATATATTGATTATCTTTCCAAACAAGTACCCACAAGTTGAATGCGAAGATGTTGGTATTGCCTAATATGGAATGAAGGGATGTTGGTATTGCCTCTGAGTTACCCCAACTAGAGGACTAACTCACACAATCTTCTACTACCTAGACCTTCTGTGACACTGCTATCATATATGATGCTTGTACTCCATGATCAGAGCTTCTTCTAAGAATTCCTATTCCTAAACTATACTTGCACTTGGACTTTCCACAAGGCTTCACATCTAATTATAGCTCTATAAGGTTACAGTAGCAAATTTAAAATTTGCTACCAGCCTGACTTGAACTATCAACCTTGTCTGTGGGGTTTGGGAGCTTAATCAGTAAACTACAGAGTCCAAACCCGTTTACAACTTTTATTATAAGCCAAAAGAAGGTTTATTTAATAAAAAAATATTTTTATATATCATCAAACCTCATTTCTATAAAGAAAGGCTACTCAATAAATAAGATCAAGCCTCTTTTCTAAAAAGAAATATTCCTATATAACTAGACAAACTTATAAGAAAAATTTAATAGAACAAATCTTCTGTCTAAAAAGAATTTTATTTGCTTCTTAGTCAACAAAATATTAGTAAAGAGGATTATATATATATATAAAAAATATAGCAAACATTTAAAATGAAAAGTTTTGAAGAATACTATAATCTTTACCTTAAGACAGATATATAATTACTTGTCAATATATTTATAAATTACATTATCATATATTTAAAAAATGATAGCTTAAATCCTTCTCACCATGTTTCAGCACTAGGAATGTTTAATAATTCCTTATATAAAAATAGTAGAGCTGAACTTAAGCTTATAATAAATATGAATGAATATTTAATAGTTGAGAATAGCATTTGTGGAGGGATGACAATAACAAGTTACTGATATGTCAAAGCAAATAATTCTTAATGTCTTGACTATAATTCTAGCAAGCCAAAGTTTTAAATACTATATGAAAAGATAAATGCCTTATATTCAGATATAATAATACAATATATACCTACAAAAATATTAGAAAAGATAAGTCTAGAGAAAGTTCTGGATATTTAAAATATTGTAGCTAATACAGAAATTAGTTATATAATTAAAATTAACTTAGAAGCTTTAGTATATTTATATAATTTTTTTGCAGATTATTCATTAGTACCAAAAAAGCAAATAATATCTAAAAACTGGTTTAGTCTATATAACAAAAAATTAGTATATAACAAAGAAGTGGAAAATAAAAAATATATAACAGATAAAAACTAGTTCTAATCCTTTATTTTAAAAAGAATTATATAGTCTATTATTGTACATTTTAGTTATATATAAAATTTGAGATAAAAGTTACAAAGATTCATAGTAGATTAAAATTTCAGCAGTCTCTATAAATAAAAATATATATTAAGAAAAATATTCATAAATATAAAATAGCAAAAGTCAATGGTAATGAGTTTGAGATTATATATTATAAGCTAAAAATAATGCTGTTTTTGATAAACAGATAAAAAATGTTCATAAATATATGAAAGTAGAGTTTTTTTTTTTTTTTCACTTAGGCCATCTTGCTTTTAGTCTCCTTTATTACTTTACGATTGTATGGTATTACAAAAGGCTTTCACATAATATTTGAAGTAGTATCCTGCAGTTACTTCGAGAGCACTTACAAGCAATCGGCCGCACTGAGCAGATACATCCCTATGAATATATCATGATAAGTTTCAAAATAAAACACTATCTCTCTCAGACAAACACTATCAGACTACTGCTCTACTATAGGATATCGCCAATCTGATGACATCTTCTCATAGAGAAGTAGAAAGAAAAAAAAAAATTTTACTAACACTAACACTAATACTAAAGGGGAGATACAAAAAAAAGGAAACTAAAACTAAAAAACAAATACAAAAACGAAAGGGGAAGAAAAAGAAAAGAGAATCTGATAGGTTACAGTTATAAGCCTGTTTCAGGCCTTAAAATTACATATTAATAGATAAAGAAGCTCTGTATCTAACTCTATCCTAATAATATATGTATAGTAAAAAAAAACATAAAAAAAAAGACAGCTAAATAAAACAGAGTAGCCCAAGATATGAAAGTCTCGAAGTATTGTCAAACGGTTTTTCTGGTCAAGGCATGTATACTATTTGTGTTGTCATACAGTCTGTACATAGTTGCTTAATCCGGACGTCTGCTCGATATCCTGTTATGAAAGTCTCATCTATTTCTAGACAGATAAATAATACTGACTTGTTTTAGAAAATTACATGTTGATCTTTTGGAGGGGGTAAGCTAAAACACCTACTTTTTGACAAAATTTCCTCAAAAAAAGTGGTGGGCCAATGAAGCTTTTCTGTGGTTGTTCTTTGTAAGTTTTACGGTTGTATAGATATACCTTAAGCTTGTAATACTCCTAGTGTCGTCCTAGATATTCTGTGTTTCTAAAATATCCTTTTGGTTTGAATACCGAATAGGCAGAGGAGTCCGCCAGAAGAAGAGCTTAACCTCTACTAAAACCAGTCCAAAGTAGACCACTCTCCAGTTTTACACTCTTGGTACTTCGTTAACAACACATCTACTTTTATAAGACCAAGTTTATTATTTACTTAAGTATCTTCTATAGCACTGACTGTAGTTCAGTTTCTTGTTTTTTGTTGACCAGATGATCGTTGGAAAGAGTTACTTTAAACAAAAGAAGATAAAAAATTAAGCATCTGGCAAGTTGGTAAGTTTTTAAATCATTTGAAAGGAGAATTATAGCAATCTATATATTAAAAAATACAGTAATTCTAAATAAACCAATCTATATAAGACAAGCAATTTTTAATATTAGCAAGATCATGATGTTTAACTTTTGGTATGATTATATAAAGTCTCATTATAAAGATAAAGCTCATCTACTTTATACTGATATAGACTTGCTCATCATATAAATAAAAACAGATGATATTTACAAAGAACAAACAAAAAAACTAGATATTTTTGATCTTAACTATTGAAAAGACTTGTTTCTAATAAAAGATAAGATAAAAAAGAATTTAATAGATAAAATAGTATATTTAAAACTAAAAATATATTCAGTTCTTTTAGTTGGGCATTATATAAAAACCCTAATAACCCAGATTCTGAAAATCCTAAAAGAAGTATGATATCTAAAAAG